GTTGCCCCCCACGAATTCACTTCAGTGGTATCAATTCATGAAAACCGCATCCGGTTTGATACAGACAAAACGATTTCTATACATACCTACTGTTAAATCTTTGGATAGACGTTTCGAACCCACACATCTGTATGATGGTTTATATCTGATCGGTATGGAACAATGGTGGCTCCCTCACTTGTCTAGTTGAAGTGCCCAATTTAACACACTACTGTTCGCTGGGAAGTAGCGAAGAGTGTATGTAAGAACGTAGCTCGCCCACTCAGAATAAGTAATGTGAGGATCCTTTCGCACCACCAGTGTAAGGAAATTCAGTTGGCCAGACACTGTCTCAGAAAGATACCGCAACCAACGAATACGTACTCTCGTTCTCAGAGAAACATAAAGGCTTCCCTTTACGGGAGAACGCCCACAGGACCAACCCCCTATTGCAACCGGTTCTCGCCTACAGAGAATCAGATAGATCTCACTGTCCATTTCTTCGTCCGCACCGAAGCTCGAACAGCCGAGTAATCTGTTCAGCACTGAAAGCGAGACGTTGTGCAACAGTAAAATCACCGAAAGTTTATACAAGCCGCTCAAAGCATAGCTTGTTGTAGAGTAAGCGGTTATATGGTCTGTAGTTGTCACGTGGTTTGTGACACAGGCTCACAAAATGTGGTTACGCAGTTGGCTGTGTTGGATCCGTCCTGGAAATCCATCATTAAAGTAGGCCTTGTAGACAAGTGCCAGTTTTGCACTAGAACAACTGATAAAGACCTTGATGTTAAATATATGGAATATTGCGTTTTAAACTTTCTTGAGATGAAGATCACGTGCCACCGCGCTCCATTTCAGATGTTTCCAGATACATTCTTGCTTATCGCCCACTTGCTCACTAAATTTCCACTTTCATTCAGGCTCACTTGAGGCCTGGTAAAGGAACAGCTGTTAGTGATATTTTTACTCATTCGAACAGTTTGAAGTTGACTAGACGTCTATACATCAATTTAAGTAGGCTCATCTAACCATCTACCAAGTCCGATTATTAGACGGAATCTATCATCTAATTTCCATTTCTGGATGTAACTTCTCCAGTTTTGCGGTACATCCGTTTCACTAGTCTCGTGGCTCTAGATCAGGGAGAATATCTTGCATAGGCAACAAGGAATATTCATTGCGAAGACAAATTGAACGGAGTTATTAATTCGGAACGAAATTCCTGAAAGACATTTTTCGAGGCTCATTCGTCAGCAACCAGTCTGTCTAAATCGTGCACAGGAGAAATACATCCGAAATACGGTTTCGTTTAATGTACCTTCCGAGGGAACGCGAACTGATTTACTCGCTTTAGAGACCCACAGAGACCACTTTCCACGCCACCACATACCACCCTTGTTCCATAAGCTGGTACACAACATGATATATGATTTCTTTAAACCTGAAGTATAAAGTCGCTATCCACCTCCTGAGCATTTCAGTTTGTCCACGCTGATGTTGTTGCGCAGCGGGATATGTCGGACGATCAGTCGGCGGATGAGAGTACACTTCACAGCTTTGTTAAATGACGAAAAAACTTGACCGACGCCGTCAAGTGAATGAACAAAACTGACGCATTTCTAGATACCTGTGATACCGTTTCTCACTATTGAAGCTATCATAATCGCAATATCTGCCGGAAGATGCTACGTCTCCCATGGACTGGCAATAAAACTGATGGAGCTAAGCACGAAAACACGAAGACAATGGACATTTACGTCACGATCTCAAAATGGACTGGTGGGCAAGGTCGTTCTTTACCGTCAAACCCAGGCCAGCCATATGTGGACTCCAGATGTCATTGGTTTTGTGTAAAATTCCTTATACAATGCGTTTAAAATACAGTTGACCCAGTTATTTCGTTCTCAAGAACATTACCTAGTCAAAATCGTATTTTTTGTTGTCCAAAGTACACACTGGACGTGCCACATAATACCAACAAACATAAAATTTACTGACTGGGAAAAGTACCGCGTTTCTTTTTCATAGAGGAAACTACTTACAAGATTGCTGAAAACCCTTCGACAGTCCATGACCGGTTTCGCCCTTCTGGGGGTTCACCAGATCGACGCAGTCCCCGATTTTCCGTCACCCTTATGTTCTACTTGAACCGTGTTTCTTATTCACTTGATATTTCAATTGTTATGTGCTTGTAACCTTCCCTTGAATTACGGTTTTTAATGGGGCAGTTCACAACCATTTGCAAGGTCGTTTAACTTCGTTAGTAGCCTCTTATTTATGTATATTTTGCATTCATCATCGTCATCGGAAGCATAAAATCAGTGTTCAGAAATGATGCTTCGCTATCCTACAGTGTTACGCATTGGGACAGAGTAAAATCAAATGAATTCTAACGCCTCAAGAAGAATGTCTTCCATGCGTATGGGTGCGCTGGATCAATGAAATCCAGTGTTCTAAAATATATTCTTTACTGTTGATAACTTGGACCATAGTATTTTCTTCGGTAAGCACTTCTTGCTTCACCTGGGATGGACGTGGGGCTAGTCCTACTCCTAGTGTTAAGTATGTCTTGGGGCGTAATAAAAAGTTCTCTACGAGACATGCCCGTAATACCATCGGAGTGGCTGAATAAGTGGTCCCCTCATGGTTATAGCGTCAAGTGATAGCAGTGCTACAGCATGAACAGAGTACCGCGAAAAACATGAAAGCCCGATAACTATGGGGTGTTTTAGGTAGCCACAAACGACTAAAACCGTACCCTGAATACCTTTTACGTAATGTCCTGGCATGGAAGCTGTATTGGTGTGAGCTTTTTCGAATACGAGACGAATTATTACGTAATAGTCAGAGACAAGAAAGTAGGCCTGTCACATTGTGTGGTAAAGAATATGCACAACATTGGACTGATTTATAAACGATAAGTCTTGTGGAAGTAACTTTGCTGTCCCTAACTTCAAGTGGTTTTTAGTTGAGTACAGGGTTCTTGTATGAAAACCGGATGGACAGCGCCTGTCAGTATGTGGTTTAAAGTTAGATAGTCGTGTACATATATTTGATGTCTCACAAGCTGCTATTCCCTTAAATATGCCTCCAGTTTATTCGAGTATACTTGAGCACCATAGTCCAGGTCTCCTGGTTAGTTAACAAGAGATCATGTTCGACACCGTATGGCCGCTTTACTTACTGGGCGGATCACCTGCGGGAGTTTTGGCCTTGAATCGGACCTCTGTATGATTCTAATGAGGTTTTTAAGCAGTTGCTCACAAGTTTTGCTTTGGTATGTATCCGGAACTTGTGTTGTTGCCTTATTTTGGACTCGCTTCATGGATAGCAAACAGAGATGCGCAAATAGGTAGGATGGTTCTGAGTTTTCTCACACACAATACGAAACTGTTTGTGAATGAAATGAAAAGGAGCGATTTGTGTAGTTCCACAACACGTGTTCACAATCGAGACTGTGCAGACCCCGGGCCACAGGAGCAATCATCAGACCTAATTCAACAAAAAATAGTTCTACATTTCAAACCTGGTCAGACAAAACAAAAGACCCCCGCCCGAATAAACTTGTCACTCTGGATAGGCATTTTAACATGAGCGCAACAGCAGGCAAGCCCGTTCAAGTAGTACGAAACTAATGGGAGCTAAGTCTAACTTCGAAAAGAAGTGTAGAACATTAAATGGACCAAACAGGACGGATGAGGAAAATAACTTTTTTGTGTTAACATTTGCCAACAGCGGCGACTCCCCGACAAGGCACACATCCCAAATGTGAATAACTTCCCTTCTGTTTTGCTCAGTTCATGTGTAAAATGGTGATGCAGATGATATTGTTTGCACGGCTATTTTCTGCAACCAGTCAGCTACCCGAAGTTCGAAGTCCCCGATTCTGACAGGCGTTTGTTGCATTTTCAAGGTCATCGGATACGTGAGGAGACAGTGGTCATTTGCATTAAGGGCGGTCTTTAAGTAACTTGAGTGGTTCGTCCAAAATCCTTATTAAATTGTGATATTAGCTGTTTGTAGTTGGTTGGGAATGTAAAACTAGTTGGAATAAAATGAGGCCTCAGACAATTCATCCCTCTAAAAGCATCATTCTCGGACGAGACCAACACTCAGAAACGACTCGTCCATGACGATTTCTCCTGATCACTGTGGAACAGGATTGGTATACACGTTCTGCATGGTTAGATATTGGGTTCATAGGAGGGGTACTGAATTTCGATTTGTCATATTGGATTGCTGTTAATGCAACTACTAACCATTCTGCGCCGAAAAATCGCTCATTAACCTCGTTAACGAAAATAAAGTAATTTTCGATTCGATGGGTAGAATTTTCCTTATACAAGGAGATTTTATGAAACCCTGTGAAACAGCGCGATCTACTTTGCGTCAAGTCAGATAGGAATGCTGGCTGAGTTGAACCGGGGGTAGAGGAACAAATGTTGTCCACTCTGTCATATCAGGACCTTCGGACAAAACATGTTTTCGATTCAATTCACTGGAGCTGACTGAGTTGGATTCACTAAGCCTTAACTTTACAAAAACAGCAGTCATCGTGAACCGAATCACTACTGACACAAGTTTTACAAGAAGCCGTAACAAATTAAAAATAACATCGCTTGATTATGTATCCGACCATCAGACGTGACTACTTGTATAATGGGAAAAATTCCTGCAACAATACTCTTCGTCAGGTACAATTCGAATTTCTTAGCTAATTTCTACCAAGCATAATCGATCGAAGTTATGGACCTTATCAATCGCAAAATAGTTCGATTAGCGTATTACTTTCACATTTGATGCTTTCGATTTTCATACCACCATTAGATCTATAACACGGTATGGTAACTCAAGTAATAGTTTCTATATCCATGATTTTATCACTCTACATAAGACGATTACCTAGATCAGTCAGATGTTCTCAGGTGTTTGATGGTAGATCGTTAATCGATAGCGGATCAGTCCCCAGGTTTCACGAAAATCTTATATCGATCAGAAAAAAGAGAGTTACTAATGATTACCAGTCGGCCTGCGAGCTTACAGACTGAGTCGGCGACCATTACGAAACTTCGAAGATTGGACAGAATTCTCTCATGTCCAGAAAATTCTTGGAGCTCCTGGATGGTGGTTTGCGGATGGGTACTTAAAGGGGAAAGATGTTATACAAGATGGCGTCGTCCCGGCTGCTCGTATCCAGACCACGAACAAGGCGGTTACAAGCCATTGGACACAAAGGGGAACATCTCATCTGCACAGAATTTTTGAAACCTGAACATTCTCCAGGGTCCTCCTGAACTGCCGTGGACGTCCGTTGAGTGCTAAACGATAATGAACTAAAACTGCAAAGCGGCTGCATAGTTTCCGTAATAACCTTTACCTTCCATCAGGTGTGGGGGCAGAGCTTGGACATCAGACCATAGGCTACTTGAATGCTTCATCAGTAGTACACAGATGCATTCCAAATAGTTGTCCTGTTCAAAACCTGTATATTTATTCGCATCGTCGTAATGAGAAGTCTGCCATAGTAGGCAGGCAATAGCCTAATTATGGTACGGCTAGCCAAGCCCTTACGGGTTTACTCCATTCCGAGGAAACCACGGAGAATAATACTCGTCTAAGCAGACCATTTTCCGGCACGCGTAACATATGGACAGTCTTCGTCTTGGTGTTGCATGCTTTCTGCGGTCAAAGTACCTTCTACAGAACAGAACTCGTGTTTTCCAATTACATCGCTACGCATACGACAGCAGAAATGTTTCTAATATATCGGCGATCAAAACCTGAATGTACCCCACATCATTTGTCTACAGAAGCCGTACAACAATGTAACCATTACCGTAAACTGCTACACGCGATCTTTAACCCCTGATAGTATTCCTGACTTTTTAGACTCACCCAAACACTACGGCCTCTTCGGAACCAAGGTTTCTGCAAATGTTACTACAATATGGATGTAAGGTAACGAAGCAAAGGAAAGATCTGTATTTGTAAAATAGTCGGAAGTTTTCCTTCGCTACACAAGCCACGCAAACAAGCTTGATCGAGTCTACAGTTCGTGCTCCGGTAACATCGTTTTTAGAGTCGGTGAGAATGAGACACATGGCAGTTTCTTGCTGCAAGATATACCACACCGAGTCGGACCATCACCCAAATGTATGGAGCGAAGCAGTGGCCGAAGAAAGACCATTTCGTCTCAGTGTCATCAAATTTTACCAACACGTCCTTTGTTTTTAAATGTTTTTGTCGCAGATTAAAAAACGAAACGACTACGGTTCGGAGAGATTATACCATTTTCCTGTATCCCTAGTTACATTTACATGCTGTCTCATACATTAAGCCTCACGCGCACCCAAGTGTGGCCTAATAAAAAGCCAGCATATTAGGCGCCGTAATTCAGAAATGGTTTGCTTCCCACGCATTCATGAAAAGCAAGGTTGGTTACTGGGATTCTCTCCCACACTTAATCGCCTTTTGAATACGAACTACTCCGACTTAAGTTTTTCTACTATTTTCTGTCATGAAGGTGTTCAGGCTCAACTTTTTTGTGTTTAATTGACGATGTCCCCTCTCAGCTACGGCAAGCCTTCAGAAAGCGGAAAGAGATCCACTTAACGGATATTTTTCGTGGCAAACGGAGAAAGAATAATTTGGTGTGCCTGGATATATATATATATAATGACCCGCTTTCTGCAGGAGCTTCCTGAACCAAATAATTCTTCCTTACGCGTGGTTTCTTCCGTCACGTTCCCTATAAGAATTTAGCATTTGGCATTTTGATAGAACCAAGGTTCATCGCTATGATCATAGCAAGGGCTATACTGACCCGTCTTATTCCGTTTGTCGTGTCTCCCTCTTTCTGTAAAAACTACACTGGTCAGAATGTGAAACACCGAAATCCGTGTCACCTAACCGTTTCCCTTCTCCCAGATCACTATAAAAAGGCAGCGTTACAGCAGCACTGTGTTTCGGTAGTAGGCAAACAATCACGAACGATAATTTTGGAATGACGAAGGCTGAAAACACTCAAAAACTGATTGTCTGTGAGATCGATCCTTTTTACGGGATAAGTTCTTCGCATCACGAAGCTGAAAGAGAAATAAAACGATACTTGGTATATGGACAGAAATTAGCACTGATCGTCCTCTAGGAGAGTAACTCGGAAGAATTTGGGAGCACTCACAGTAGCATTACATGGTACGAATGTTCACTGACCAGTTGTCCAGCAATAAATTGATGTAATTTATCTCTGTTCACCTGAAGGATATGGCTGGCAATATACATGAGCGTAACTCATTTGACAGTCCATCAATTCGAGATTCTACACAAAAAGCTCAAGATTGTGGTACAGTTTCTTTGGGCCAACAAGTCAGTCCTTGTCTTAGACAAGAACCTGCTCTGCGCTTGTGAATAGAATGGTCTACAGCCTAGCGGTAGAAACACAACCAGTCTATCAATATTAACTTAAGATAAATTCAAGTGGACTTGTCTGACATTCCTTAAACCTGACCGCCGAACCGCCGAACGTTCTCCCTGTCCGGATCCTTGCATTTTGAAAGAGCGTTTTGGAGCAGTAACATCAATAGCTCATAGAAGAGCATGGTTCACTGGTTATCGATCAGGTCAGTTGAACCTTGATCTGAATGTTAAAAAGAGCGGGCAGAACACCAAATTAGAGTCAGGCGGTGAGAGGGGCGTTCATTCTTTGCCTGACCAGTTACAGTCTCTCCCGTTCAAAGTATACTAAGCACATTGCGCATACAGTTGAATGTTACGGTCTAGTCTCGTTCCTCGAAGCTGTCAGACATCCATCTCCTAATGGCTTTGAGTGATAAATATGGCCTGGCGTCTTATTTCATTCCCGACGGATAGCCAACATAGACGAAAAAGAATGAGCAAAGTTGACAGTCGTCGTCAAATACACTCATTTGCATATCAATTTGGTTTTGACGGGAAACACCTGGAGCCCAGCTGAATCACTCATTTATCATGTTCCTAAAAGGAAGATTCACCTGGGTTCCACATGAGTCTGCCGTCAAATCCAAATTGATATGCAAATGAGTGTATTTTTCGAAATCTGTCTAATTTGGGTCCCCGTAGAACATAAGGTTGACGGAGACTTGGGGACCGCGCCTACTTGATGAGCTTTATGAACAGCGAAACCGGTTGTGCAGCAACCTTATGATTACACTCATGAGTAGTACACTATGTCTATACAAAGTTGATAGTGTTTTTGACCATTTTTTATTAACACACTTTCTTTTAGGCATGTTATACTTGCGGACACAAGCAACACGATCTACCTGAGTTTCCACAGTATTGGCAAATGCTGCCGGCATTAAATACTTGCTCTTACGGCGCCATTGGACATTCAGCATTCTTTTCCCTCCATTCCGAAGATTTGAACTAATGACAAGTGGAATCATCCAAGGATTTTGTTCATTCCAATAAGGGGTTTGTTTACTGATTCGAACAGTGGCATATAGGATTACTTTCTCCTCACTGAATTCGTGATGCAGATAAAGGCACCTGATCTGAGTCGTTTCGAGCTCTAAGTGATGACTCAGCTTTCACGTCGTTTTGTGTGCCCAAGTGAATTTGATGAAAAACGAAAGAGGAAGTTGGTCAAACGGAAGCAAAGTTTCAGAAAGCAGCTCATACAGTCATACACAATATACTGTATACAATATACAATAAAATACACAATATTGTATACATTTTATGTAAATTATTCCCTTCACTCCGCGTTGTTGTACGAAACAATTTCAGCCCGTGTATTTTGCGAACAGAGATAAAAGTTGTTTTTTCCTTAAAAATGCACTATTTGTCGTGTCTTGATGAGTCGTATTGCGCCACAACAGCTCAAGGTAACCCGTTTCGGAGTCACACAAGCCTTTTTAGTAGGCTTCATTAATCATGCTTCCCCAGACGGTTTGTGCCAGTGATTGAAAATTGTCTGTTCCCAAACAAATCGACTGAAATAGCCCCAAGACAACTCATTCAAGCACGTTTGCACTTCCTTGCAATATTTGTTATTAATTCAGTAGAACCGAATAGATTATTCACCTACCGGAATTACACGAACGCACATGACCCGTCACTAGCAATGATACGTTCGCTCTTGGGGAAGCAACCAAAACATTTTCCATAATGACCGATTTGTCCATTTTGTCCGAAACACTTTGTCAAACACACTACGGCCACAAAAAATTTCATGTGTTGCTCGGTTGCTTCTTCATGATTACTGAACTTGGGACATTTGCACTATACCTTCCTAATGCTCGGAACGTGGCATGAAGTACAAAATGGAACATTTCGAAGTTCCTTTCCAGAATGTCAAATGATGATATGTGGAATTCAAAGCTAAAAACTAAGCTTTTCAACCACCTGATCGATATCTTGCTTATTTGTATTAAAAAGGGCGAGAACCATATAACTAAAATCATCATCATCATCATCATCGACATGTGTTCGACGCTGATGCCCAAACTATCATACAGCAATGATTCTTTTGAAAGCGTTACTTTGAATAAAAAATAAAATCGGACGGGTTAGGGATTTAATACTAGCTTACTACAATCAGTTCAAGGTGCCCACACCTCCAGACAATCATTCAGGCAATGTGGAGAGAAACTGACAACAAGAACGCTACTCACATCAGTTAGCAGTCATATCTTGCAGTTTCTCGAACCAAGCGCAGTGGGGATCTTACAGTCTCTATCCTGAAAGGCGGCTCGTACCGACAGCTTTTAAACTCTTTGTAATTGACTGGACGCCGGAAACAGCTTTCTCTTCGGCAAACGATGGCTCGGCATGCACAATACAAGGTCCACCAAGCACAGCTTCTGGTGCTGAAAGTCTGCGTGTCACAACCGAACACTCATATTCTTGTTGCTTTGTTACGGAATCGCCAACACCAACCCATACAAGCCGTGGTTCTGAGACAACGGCTATCGAACACCTGAAGACGTCTGGGTTCCGCTGATTCAACAGGCCAAGTCTCACGGCCGTACAGCGAAAAATCGGAGATATACCGCTTTGGTGCCATAAGTGTCTCAAATTAACAAACGCAACCCGAGCCTTACAGATTTGTGCCTCATCTATCACAGTGTAATCAGAGCTAATACAACTTCGAAGATACTTAAAATGCTCCACAGTCTTGGGTGCTTCTCCCTGGATTGTGGGTGGCGTGTTCAGTGACTGTATGTTGAGAAGCAGTACATTACATTTTGTGGGTGCAAAGTGAATACCAAACGATGGGATGACCTTGGTCACTTCATCCAAAAACATCTTCGACTTTTCCTCTTCTACGAAGACAAGAACGATTTCGCCTGCATATCCCAGACCGACAAGGCTTTCGTCAGCTGCCACTTGGACAGTGGGGTTTCGAAGACTTTCAAGGGTTTGTTTCATTACCACGAAATTTAATAAGAATTGAGATAGTGGGCACCACTGACGAGCACCAAATTATGTACGGCAGCCTTTGGAGAGCTTTCCGTATACTCCCACGTCCGGAAGTTTAAGAATACAAATTAATTATGCTGTCTACGAATTTCCGAGGCATTTCTTGATGTGCAAGCACGTCACGGAGAACCTACCGGTCAAACGAGTAACAATGTGCCTTGGAAATCCAGGATTACCAAAGTTGTGAGTTGTTTGTACTTATGGCCTTGTCTTTACACCTGATAGGATGTGAAACTTTGATCAACGCACCCTCTTCCGCTTGCTGCTCTCGAGTCAACGTTTCACAAGTCGCCATGAGGCGACGATACACAAGTGGTCCCAACAGTCTCGTCACACCCGGGGTCAAGGTGATCACGCCGTGGTTACCACACCCACTACAAGCCCCTGTTTTGAAAATGGGCACTATCACCGACTCTCCCCAATGGTCTGGGACA